CACAGTACACACACACTTTCTCTAGTCAGTTCCTAAATCTCCAGTGAGAGTGCCTATGCCAATATGGATATGCAAATAATATAATTTCCTTGGACAAGCAGAATTTGAATATGCTCAAGTAAACAACAGATTCTATGTATGTAAAAGTCAGCTGATAGTCTAACAACATACGTAAATTAAAATCAAGAATTAAAGCTGATCTGTGTTATCTATCCCTGCAGACCTCTGTGAAATTCAGACATTTTAAGGCACGAAGAGATAAAGAAATTCAGCTAAGAAGTTCTACTACATACCACAAGCCATGAAGTTTCATATGCTCTGTTCCAGTAGCTGGAATTACACTTCCATCAATGTGAGAAATGTTCTTTTGCTTAAATTTCCCATAGGTTACCATCACTTTATGAAGTTCTGATCCCTCACAGAGCCTACACTGTCCAGACTTTCCAGAAAACTCATGGAAAACCTCTAATCTCAGTTCTCCAAACATTTCTGTAATATGCTGTAGATTCAGGAATAGATATGTTCTCTCTAACAGACTACCTATCTTTTGTGCACCAGCTCTCCCATTGCACATCTCTCAGCCATTGAAAACATCTTTAAAAAGTAGAGGTTTCTCAATCCTTCCCATCTGCTTAAAATATTCTTCTGAAGGGAAAGGAGAGATGAAGTTTCTAATACTCCTTTTGCAATCCTTGGCATAATACACTATTTCAGCAGCAAATCATATTTCTCTAGTTCTTCCTGAAGAACAGTGACTACGAATATTAGCAGATAATATAGGTGAGCCGGGTACAGATCTGTGGAAGCTGGCAGTGATGAGGACCTAGAAACCCCTTCACGTTTAAAGGTGCCTTCCAGCTTAGCTTCTCCTGAACAGAGTCCAGATGACACACTCTTGAGAGCACCCCGTAAGAAGTATCGAAAGTGCAGTAAGTGGAGGCTAATCAGAGATTTGCTCCACAAGTGCATTCCTGACAAATTAAAATGAGAATGTAAATACATGCTGGGTGAGTATTTGAGTGCACCTACTGACACACCTTGAGGAACGACAGACAATTAATCCTCTAATAGCTTAGACTGATGTCCTAAGTATGTTACCCCACAGACTGCAAGTGACAACAAAACATGGACTGACACATATTTCTGTACGTGCCACCTACCCTCACCTGAACACCCCACCAAACTCAGGTCAGAAGGTCTGTGCAAACAGCAAACACAAGAAGAGTAAGAGCGTAAATGTTTTCTGTAGCAAAGAGATACTCTAAGTGGTTGCCTTGAGACTGTAATGAGGAGAGCATATTTTTTTTCTGTTGAGAAATTAGATGAAAAAAGCTATTGATGAAAAATTATATTGTTCGGCATAGACAGGGAAAGGTTAGAAATAGCAATCAGTAGAAGATATCAAGACAAATGTAGGAAGAATCAGAAGCCTGGTAAAAGACAAGTTTTGAAGAACAGAAACTATTTAAAAAAACATACATAAAGGCAGAACAACACTGTATTAACAATAAAGTATGTTGAAAATTTCTGCTACAAAAGATGCTGTTGAAAAGGAAGAAAAGGAGAGTGAAAATGTGAACAAATATTTCTGTACCCAAAGTACAGATAAACTCTGAGAACCCCAGTGTGCTGGCAACTTGCACTTTATAAATCTGCAAGAAGCAACATAAGTATCATTACCCTAATAGCTAAAGTATGCAACCATCTCTCAAATCAGGTATTGTATGAGTAGAATAGGGCTATGAAAAAGACATGCTGAAAATTTCACCTTCGCCCAGGTGCCCTTTCACAGTGACACACTGGAGTGAATATGGTGTATCCCCACTGAGTACCAATGCCACTGAAAAGAAGTGTCAAAGAGAGCCAAGATTTAAAATGCACAGTGTTTGTGGCTGGAAGAATCTTGAGAAGAGTGAAGGAGAAAAAGGAGGTATTTGGAGTGGCATGCAGTGCTAAGTGGGTCCTAGATGACAAAATATTTCTCTAAAGTTTTGGACTAAATTTCTGCTTAAACCTCAAGGTGTTAAGAGTGACATAGGCAGTTCCAAGATTAATATTCAACCACAGTTATCCAGAAAAATATATGTGAAAAAGTGAATTTAGGGGATCTGGAGATCAGCTGTGGCTTAAAATACAGTGCATTTTTCTTGGATTTGAGTCATCCTGACCACTTACTGAATTTACAACTCACCGACTTTCTGAAATACTTAATTGGTAAGGATAATAGACCTTGTAGACCAAATAAAGTACATCACATGTTTTACTTGTGTAAATATGCTGAAAGTACATTTTCAGTAGAGTACTACAGTATTCTGTTGGAAGCACTAACAATTAAATAAAGAACTGGCTTCAGAGTGAGAGTGAGTTTTTCTGTGAGGTTCTATCAAGCAGAGTTCAGCAGTGATCCTCCTTCCAATTCTATGTCCAGTTCTTCTTATTCACATGCACTTACTTCCTCTTATGTGTTTGGGCTTATATCTAACATGATCTGGAATGCAAGACACCATGAGAAAAAAGGCCAGTACCAACTTTTGAATCTTCTACTTGATCTGGTTTTTGTTCTGAGAACATTTTGCTCATATATGCTAGGGCTGTTTGCTAGTTGTGTTATATTCACCAAGGAGCTGGAACGGGAGATGAAGTGTGATGGCTACAGCAAAATTCAAGTTACTTATATCATGAGGAAACTGGTCTACTTAATTCAATTTAAAATTTGTTTAGACTTGATAGGAGTTTTGCTCAATAAAGGGCTAATTATGCTGTGTACATGTCCCTGCAAGGAACCAAATCTGTTTACTCTATCACTAAAAGTGCTGGAAAGAAAGAATTTATTTTGTTTCCTGTCAAAAAAAAATAAAAAATCTGTTGACAGCAGCAGGAGTATCTGGATCCTAAGCTTCCAGTTTCCCAGCTCACTAAATACACTTAAAACTCTTGAAAGGACAACAACAGTTTGGTAATTATCCTTCTCCCTTAAACTAAGTTTTCATTTGTGCACCTTATCAGTAGACTGATTTTGTCTCTGTCTTCTTCCAAACATTCCCAGGGTAGTAGTGAAAAAACAAAACATTAAAATATCGAAATAATCTTCACACTTTGTTTTTTTTCCTTTTTTTTCTTTCCTTTTCTTTTGTTTTTCCTTTTCTCTACCATTACTAATGGTATGGGAGAAACATCCCTGTGGGACTCCAAAGCATGTAACACCAAGGGGTAGCTTCTCCCTGGATAGCTAGCAAATTAAATGAGAGACACAAGGGATGGGTAAAGGTCAACATGATATCCATTTTTAAAGGTAGAAAATTAAATCACAGGGAAATTACGTGACTGGTCAAAGGTCAAACAGAAAGCAAGTTGCAGAGCATGGAAACTGAGAAACTGTCTGATGGTCAGGACTGCCCTTTTTCTAATTTGAAGAGGGAAAAAACTCTCAGTGGTAGAATAGTATCAAAATCAGTTTCACTGACAACCATCTGAATTTCTTTGTCTCATCCAAAACTGTATATTGTTCTGCCTCATTAAAGCAGAAATGAGATCCATTCCAACAACACAGATGTAGTCAAAACAAAACCGCAACTACTCTTAGTCGTTAAGATTTTTGTACGCCAAGAAATTGGTTTGCAGTTTTGCAGAAACGGTCAAGTCAATTAATTTCATTGTAGCTTTGGAGAAATTAACAAGTACGTCACACTTCCCTTCAGAAAGAATGAAGTTAAGTGCTACATTTGAGAGCTATGAGAGCATTCCAAATGCTTCATCCACTCTTCATGTCTTATTGTGACTTTCTATGAAAAAGTGTATGTGTGTGTATACACAGATATGTACAAACATAGAAATATATTTACGTATCCACATTAACATACATAAATATGTGTCTGTGTATAGATATGGACACTTATGCATATACACATATATGTATATTTACACAGGTATAAAGAAATTACATGGGATTTAACAAACACAAGGCAGTCCAGTGAAAGAGGCAAACAAGCCATTTTCCTGTTCCTGCTCTTTCTTCAAGTAAGATAGGCCCAGACATGATGTGACATTACAGCATACACTAACAGAGAGCGATCAGAAGCTCCATTTCTGTCTCAGTGACCAGGAAGCTCTGTACACTCTGTCAGGCCCAAGGGATCAAACTTCAGTTACACCGTATGCCTGGGCTTTGCCTGCCCTAAACACTGTCAAGGACAAGGAGTGTCCGGAGGGCCCCATCACACTGTAACCCAGTCACCTGGAATCACTCCTGTCACCTCATGGGCAACGTGGGAAAGTTCAGACTGAAAGGCTAAGCCGAGGTGCAATATCTGTGGGTGCCTCATCATCGCAGCAAGGCTCTGCCTTGGCAATCCTCCCTATACGTGTGGAGGGACAGCGAGTTTGGCTCCTAACCTTGGGCTGGCCCTGGTGGCTTGGGTCACAGGAATGGCATGCTTCAAGGGGAAGGTGGGGGGCGGCGGGGGAAATAGCAGGGGTTTCTTCTGAAAATATTAACCTATCTATTTGGAAAGTGATGGCTGCCTTTGAAATGTCTCCTTATACATCTATACTTAGCACTGGGGCAGGGAGTAGGAGGGTGTGAGGGGTGGGCTGGGGGAGGGTTCCCTGCGCAGCCCCGCGCCTTTGTCCTCCAGCGGTGCCCCCGCGGGCTCGGCAGCGGGGCCGCGCCGGGACGCCGCTCCCGATCCCCACTTCGCGTCCTTTCCCTGCGCCCCGAACCCACGACATTTAGGGAGCGGGTGGGAAGTTGGGATGTGGGGTTTGAGGGTGTTTTTTTGCTTGTTTTCGCCTTTTTTTTTCCTAAACTTGCCCCCCTCCCCTAGTGTCCCCCCTCCCCCTTCTAAACAGGAGATGTTCTCAGGACAGCGCCCGCAAGACTGGCTGGAATCAGTTTTGGAGGGTGATACACCGCGACAGCTAAAAGCTGGATAGGATTTCAGCAGCTCCTATATAAAGCACAGGGGACTTATGTCATTGCACTAATTAAATTCCATCTGGGTTGTTCCTCGGGGTGTTTTTGAGCCTGCCACCCAACTCAAGCAGGCAGAGAAGCCGGGGGACAGCATGATGGACCTTTTTGAAACTGGCTCCTATTTCTTCTACTTGGACGGGGAGAATGGAGCCCTGCAGCAGCTGGAGATGGCTGAGGGATCCCCGCTGTACCCAGGCAGCGATGGCACCTTGTCCCCATGTCAGGACCAAATGCAGCCAGAGGCCGGCAGTGACAGCAGCGGAGAGGAGCATGTGCTGGCACCCCCGGGACTACAACCCCCTCACTTCCCCGGCCAGTGTTTGATCTGGGCTTGTAAAACTTGCAAGAGAAAGTCGGCCCCCACGGACAGACGGAAAGCAGCCACCCTCCGGGAGAGGAGGAGGTTGAAGAAGATCAACGAAGCCTTCGAGGCTCTGAAAAGGAGGACTGTGGCGAACCCCAACCAGAGGCTGCCCAAGGTAGAGATACTCAGGAGCGCCATCAGCTACATCGAGAGGCTGCAGGACCTCTTGCACAGGCTGGATCAGCAGGAGAAAATGCAGGAGATCGCGGGGGACCCCTTCAGCTTCAGCCCCAAGCAGGGAAATGTAAGCACTGCCTCTTGGTCCCTCCCTCCTCCTCCTCCTCGGGGAACCTGCGAGTCCTCGGGCCTCCGGAAGTCAGCCGGCCAGGCTCGGCCCGGCCCGGGGAGCCGCGGGTCACCTCACTAACAACTCGTCCTCTCCCCGTGTCTCCCCGTTCCCGCCCCCGCCTGTGTGCCGCAGATCGCCAGTTCGGACTTCCTGAGCACCTGCAGCTCCGACTGGCAAACCGTTTCTGACCATTCCCGAGCCCTAGGAATCAGCCCCAAAGAAGGTAACTCGTCCCGGGGCCGGACCCCGCTCCGCCGGCCTTGCTCGCCCGCCGCCCCCGGGGCCGAGCGCCCTTCTCTCGCCCCGACGGCTGAGGCCCCGGCGGTCCGTCTCTCACCCTTCCCTCCTTTGCCCGGGCTCTCCGGCATCCTGGAGCCCCCGTGCCGCAGGCCCGGGAGGAGGAACGGTTTGCGCTTTAATCCCTTTTCTCTCGTTGAGCAGGAGTCTCCGTTGTCGAGTCGTCGGCCTCCAGCAGCCTTCGCTGCCTCTCTTCGATAGTGGACAGTATTTCTTCCGACGAGCCCAAACCGCCCAGTGCGGAGGAAGCGGTGGAGAAATAAACCCGGTTCTGTGGTAGTATGTTTAACGAGATGGAGCCCCTATCCTCTTTCCTCTAAACAAGTAACGAAGCAAATTAACACAGTGGAAAACCCAAGCAGGGGCCTTGTTAAGGTTGATTCAAGGTACACCTACCCCCCAAAAAATGGCTCTCACTGACTCGAGCCAGATAGACTTTCCCTCTTTTGTGTTCTTCTTTTTTCCCCACGAGTTTTGTTTTCTTTAAATTGTGTTGCATAGACCACCCCTCTTTTTTCTTTCTTTTTTTTTTTTTTTTTTTTTTTTCTAATTTAAGATATTTACCTGTGTACCGGTGATCCTCTTTGTCCAAGACTCACCGGGAAGTTCATTCCTGTCTGAGTGAAGCTGTTGGTTGCATTTCGTGTGAGTCATATTTAAAGAGTTCCCGCCTCGTTTCGTTCCTGTAAATAATTTCAGTACTGTCTTTTCTTTTGTAAACATAACATATATATTTAAATGGTGGAATGTGATATTGTATATAAGAACAGATGGATTTCTTGGATTGTAAAATAAAGCTCTTTGTGTTACAGTGTTTTCCTCCCCTCCTCGTAATTTCATAATAACCCGATACTGGAGTTAAAACCTGCCATCGACTTCAGCGAGATGAAGCCCAGATGAGTCAGACTTGTATAGCCGAAGCACGACCCGTGTGACTGGAAGCAGGACTCGGCATAGATTTTTCCTTCGTTTACTCCTCGAAGGACCGTCTCTCCTTATTTAGGGCCGCTCCCGCGATGTGAATTACCCGCCTAACCCTCCCCGTGGGCTCCCAGGGAAGCACGGGCAGGCCCGCCGCCTCTCCGGCTCCCGCAGCGCTCCGCGGCCCGATTTCTTGCGGTGCTTGCGCAACGCACGTCCCCCTGGAAAGTGATACTGCTCCCCTAAAATGTCCAACAGGGCCGCTCGAGTACCTTGCCAGGCAGGGACACTTCTTCGGCCTTGCTCTGCACGTGGAGGGTGAGCTTAGAAACGGGACACGCGAAAAGACACCCCCTCCCCTCCACCTCCCCCCCCGGTCCTTGAGCTGGGAGAGGCTCAGCGCGTCCCACCTCTTCCTTTCGGCACCGAGGATTTGAATGCAGGCCTTGTCTGCGGCAAAAATGATGGTCCTGCTGCCCTAACGGGGCAGCGATAGGCTGTGACAGGAGTCCGCTCTCTTGGGGTCTGGGGATAGCTGTGGTTTCTTCCCAGGAAAAGTAACTCCCCTTGACTTCCTTGTGCCTGAGGGAGAAGGGAATGGGGTCCCCCGGCAAGGAAAGAGTTAAAGGGCCGAAAAGGTTTGGAGGTGGGAGGGTAACAACATATGAAGCCTTTCAGTCAGTGATGTGAAAAAACACAGCCTGAGGATGGTGGAGCCGAGCTGCTCACAGTCAGAGCGTTACGGTTTGTAACAGATTATACCCCCGGGAAGAGGTGGCCACCAGGGAACAGCACATTCTGCCGTAAGCGCACAGACGCAGGGCTCGCCGGAGAGCCTGGGCAAGCAAAGGGACGACACTTCAACTTCACCTAGCGGCACTCTCCTCGTCAACTTTAGCCATTGATTTATTTTTTGTTCTTGTTTTTTGAAAGGTCACAGTAGCTTTTCGGAAAAGTCTCCCCCTTCCCGGCCGGCTCGGGCACGGGTACACCCGTCTGAAGTGGAAGCTCTGGGCAGAGCCTTCCCTGAGAGCCAGCTCTCCCATCACCGTGCCTTCTCCTACCGCCTTTTCTGTGCCACCGTGGCTAGTCTGACTTTTAAACCAGTCAAGTGCTAGCTCTTAATTGCTCTATAATAAGATGCTCCGTTGTAAAGAATAATTGCGGCGGGACATTGTGGTGGGCACAGTGATGCGACGGTTTCACCCTTTTTCTCTTTTCAAATTAAACCCCTTTGACGCGGGGAACTCTCGAACTCTTCAGAAAGCGGCGCGTCGGGGAGCGAGGCCCCCTGCGTGCCGTCTCCGCGACCTGGCGAGAGAGGGGAGGTGGTTCATCTCGCTTCTGTAGCGAAGGCACTTGACCAGCCACAGAGTATTTCAGATCGGGCTAGCAGCTCGTCACCTTCCTTCCTAATTTGTTTTGATCCCTCCAGGTGCGCGGGAAGAGCTACACACAGTTCACACGCTGATCCGAGACCCGCGGGACCCGCTGCCCGCAGCAGGGTAGGAGCGGTGCTGAGCCACTCCCCAAAGCCAGAGTGTCGCACCGACATCTGGGCAGCCGAATGTCAGATTAACCCTCAACTCAGCACTGACTTCTACGAACAACCAGTTCTGCCCGGTAGGACCCCCACTACAGCGTCTTCTCCAGCAGCATGGTAACTTGAGCGATTGTTTAGAGTAAGTTTGCCTAAAGAAGAGTCTTTTTCATTAAATAAAGAAAATATCTCCCAGAGAGACTCTCCGTGACCTCCACGGCTGCGGCTGACATGCCGGGCTTCCCAGTGAAGGTCGTCAGTGTGTTTGCAATTAAGATGTTTGTGTTAGATATTAATAACGATAATCTTTACTCAAGTCCCCAGCCAAAGCAAATAGGGCGCTGGAATCACAAAATCAAAGGGTAATAACTGGGTAAAGACAAGAGATTTGTGATTTAATCAAGTCTTTTTCCGGAGCGGCCACGGACAAAGTCACCAAAGTTTTTAAGGGAATGCAAGTGGACCTGTCCCTGCCTCCTCCCCGATGCAGTTCATTTAAGGCGGGCTCGAAAGCCCATACTCAACACAGGCCTCTTCGCCTCTACCTGCTCCGCTCCCCCGGGAACCACCTGCTCGCTCCCTCAGGAGCGGAGGGGTGCCTGGCCCGGCGTGGCAACGCTCCGCCGCCCGCTCGAGATGCCTGCGGGGCCGGGGAGCGATGGGGGGAAGGCGAGGGGGGAGAAGATGGGGTGTTCGTCTGCAGTGCCGCCGCGTTGTCACTGCTTTCCTCTGAAGTGACGCGACCGAGTTTTTAAAGCCCTTTTTTTCTAATTTTTTTTTTTTTAATCTTTATTTTCCTTGGTAAAATAGCCTACAATCCAGGGAGGGAGACGGACAGCCAGTACCGTGCTCAGCTTATTCTCTGAGCTCGAAGTCAAGGGAGGCAGGCGGCGACACAGCAGCTATTTCCTGGGGAAAAATTCCTGCGTGGATCGCTGCTGTTTTGAGCTAGGAATGGGTGTGGGGGGCAGGGGAGAGAAGAGGTTGAATAATTGAACCATGTGCTCGCTGGGACGTCCGTCCTATAGCAGGAACTAGCAACTTTTCCCAGTCTCAAGGCTGCTAAAATATCCCTCGTGTCACTTTGATCTCTCCTGGGAGTCCCAGGGAGCCAACAGAGGCCAATGCCTTCTTCAGCTGTCCTCTATACAAATCCCTCTGGCAGGTACTAATGTGTTTACTTAGGTGTGCACGGTTCTCAGCGCTGGGGGGAACCAAACGTTTCTCACACGGCTGGAAGCGCTCGGCCCCACCAACCCGACTGGGAAACAGTTTTGCTGCCAGGGCAGCGCGGGGTAGCCCTCACCGCCGGTGCCGGCAACCACCGACAACGGGAATGGAGCGGCTTGGCAGCATTAAGTTTCATCCCTGAGTGACGCTCTCGCCGCGCTGCACCGGGGCCCGGCTGTGCGCTCCGGCGAGGCCGGAGGCCGGCGGGGCAGCGCGCAAGGCGCTTCGAAGGGCTGGGGTTGGGGGGGCGCTCGGGTGGACCCCAAACACCTCTCACCCCCTCAGCCTGGTGATTTCTGGTTTCGGTGGGATTTTATTTTCTTAAACAGAAAGGTGTGGGGCTTGGAAAAACATGGCACCGTCTGCAAACGGTGCCTACATGGGATGGAATCCCTCCAGAAGTAGGTGCGGCACGGCGATTGCTGATGAGCTGGGGGGGGGGGGGGGGGGGGTGCGGCTGGGATGAGGAGCATCATTTAAAGAGAGCCTGACACATTCACCGTTTTCTCTCTACCCGTCCGCAGGAGCAGACAGTGTCTGATTCTCAGGCTGCTTCCCGCTTTCCGGACTTGAGCCTTCTGAAATGCAGCAGTATCCTCCCCCGCCCCCCCACCTCACCCTTCCCCAGAAACCTCATTAGCCAGCCTTGTAGTTCGTGTTTTCTCTCCCCTTGCTTTAGTTCCACTCGCCTACTGCATTTTTGCAAGTTTGTTTCGAGATCACTTTACCAGAGGAGCCGGGGACTCCTTAAAGAATACTATTTACAGACTTTTTTTTCTTCCTGAATGACAGACTCTTCCATGCTTTCTTCCCTTTCCCCAAAAACATTCAAGGAAAAAGGAAAGAAATTTTTCTGGCTCCTCAAAGACTTTTTGGGAAAGGCACGGTTTTTAACAGCCCCCGCTGAGCTAAGAGTCAAATCTACGAGCTAAAGCTCTGCATGCCAGGAGAGCGGGGCTGAGGGGGGTTGGCGTTGGGCACCGGGAGATCCACAGTGCATGCTTGGAGAGAAACCAAGCATGCACCAACCAAGAAAGGTGATCGGAACTGCAATCGGCACTTTAAAGATCAAGGGTTTTTTGTGCATGAAACATGAATATGTAAACAGGTCTGTTTTACCCAGCGCAAACGTGGTAAATCAAATTGCATATATGTGTCTGTCTATATCTCTGTGTGTGCTCGCCACATCCCAGTAAAGAGTTCAAGTTACTGCCGAGCAGAACCCCTTCTGACGGACACTGTCTCAGCAAAACAGTAAACAACTGCCCTGTTTCAGATGCGGCCCAACAAAACAGCAACCTGCATCTCAGAGCGACAGAAGCCTGAAATTCTGAGTTTTCCCCTTTCTGTAACTTTACTCCTTTATCAACTCTCTGCTTTTCCTACAGTATTCATTTCAAAGGGGGCTCCCCCTATTTATGGCCCCAAATAAACCAAAGTAGTGCAGATGTAGCCTTCCACAGACTTTAGATAATCACGCGTCTGCTCGAAGGAAGAAGGGTGTGTGCATGGTTGTTTTTTAGGAAAAGTTTTAGCCTTAGAGTGGAAATCCGCCTTTGGGGATTCGGGGGGGG